TTCCTGCTTTGATCTGCGTGGGAATTGTCACACTTTGGGCTTGGAGGATTGTCTCCTTAAGGAACGACCACTCTTCTTGGACTCCCAACTCCCCTCCCATCCGGGACCTCAGAGCCTCCCTGACTAGTCTCCTTACCTCATTGAAATCCACCCTCCTGAAGTCTAGGGCTGCTACCTTGCTGGAGGCCTTTTCCACCCTGCACTGGATGGTGAATTCCAGTAGGCAATGATTGCTATCGCCCAGGTGGTCAAGCACCCGCAGTCCCCCTACCAGCTCATCCCCTGTGGCCAGGACCAGGTCCAACAAGGCATTTCCCCTGGTGGGACTATGCACCTCCTGGGTTAAATGAAGGTCCTGTAACTCGACTAGAAGCCTACGTGAGCAGTCAGACCTGGCTGTCTGGTCTTCCCAGAAGATGTCCGGATAGTTTAGGTCACCCATTATGACCACATCCCTTGACTTAACTGCCTCCAAGCTGACCTGAGAATTCCCGGTCCAGCACTTTCCCCTGATTAGGTGGCCTGTAGTAGACCCCCACCGTTAGGTCCCTTTCCACCTGACCCCCTTGTATTTGGACCGAGAGCACCTCACTCTGACCTACTTTAGATCCAGTGCTGTTTGCTGAGGATGTGTATTGTTCTTTGATGTAGAGTGCCACACCCCCACCTTTCTTCCCCATCCCACCCACCCATCCCTGGGTGCTACTCCCCACCTACCCAGGGCCCCATGCACCTGGCCAAGCATGCCTTTCCTATGTGGGTCCCAGGCCAGTCTCCATGGAGACTCTGCCCGCCTACTCCACTGGCACCCCCAGAGTGGTCTAATCTACCACTTAAGGAGTTTTGGTAGCTGTTGCGGGGCAGGGGCAGGGGGAATGGGATGCTTACCCAGTCCAGAGCAGGGGCAGAGGGGTGATCCTGACCCAGCCTCACCAAAACTCCCTAAGTGGCCCTCCAGCCCAAATGCCCACTCCTGCTCTAAACTCATGGTTCATATGATAAAGTGGACACCACCACCATCTTCATTTCCACTTTGTAAAGAAAACTGAGCCGCGATACATTCACTGAAGAATGATTGTGAACAAGAGTTCAGAACTGTGTGTCCCAAACTGATGAAGACATACAAGTCCCAGAGGGCAGGCGTTTCAGAAATACTGGTACCCCTCTCCTCAGACATTTCTTGTTGGGAGCTCTATGTGCATGCACATTAGAAATGCTGACTCTAGAAAACTTCCTGCTCAGCATGCTGTCTATTTTCAGAGCTGGCCTTAGGGAAAATGGCACGGTGGGTGAACTTTTATTTTGGTGCACCCCTGGCACGTCCCACTCCTGCAGTCAGTGGCACTACTACAGGCAGAGGCAGGTGGGCAGGGGTGTGGGGCACAGCTGGCAGAGGCATGGTGCTGCAGCTCATACCGCCCAGCCCAGCTCCTCCTGAGCAGCAGCTGAAAGTGGGGGGGAGGAGGTGCTGCTGTGAGCATGGGCAGCTTACCTGTGTGTGCATGTGGCACCCCAATGAATATGGCATATTGGGCGAATGCCCACTTTACCCACCCCTAAGGCTGGCTCTGCTATTTTGCATCCCCTTTGAAACACCTTATTCTTTCCATGTATTGCATAGGGAGCAGAGGCATCTAACCTAGGCTTTTGGATTAAATTTCCAGCACTAGATATCTAAAAATTAGGCATTATAACACCTATTTTTTAGGTTTATAAATCCTTTATTGGATTGGGCCTGATGATTAAGACAGTGGATCTCTTTGGTGAGGAAATATCAATGTTTTCTTCAACAACAAAGAGGAAACAACAATGGTTCCTTTTCACTGAGACTTTTATGTGCTATTTGAATGTGATTAGGGCAAATTAACCAACTGAAAGACTCAGCTGAGTATTTTGGAACATGAAATTTTTAATCCTCCAAGACCTAAAAGAATTTTCTATGTATGTGGTGTCTTACTTGGTAGTCACACAGGGTATTTTTTTCATAGGTCAAGACAAGTATAATGTAAAATTGGTGCAGGGGAATGTGGAGTTGCTAAATGAGTAAGTTTCCAGTTGTACTAAAACTAAATGGAATCTGACATTGTTCAAATTTTCAGCACTATAAAATAAATGAATATAATGTGTACCTTCTTAGCAGTGTGGTGCCCCACAGTCACCCCCAGAAAGTGGCTTAAGAATGAAAAACTCAATTTTTGATCCAAGTTTCTATATGTTACAATCTCTAGGTGCAATGAGCTTATTTCTTCCAGTCGTTTGCATTTTAAATAGAGAAGATGCAGTAAAACATATTTTTTCTGAACAGTTACTATAAAAGGTGATAATATCTGATTCCATATTTATTGCGTTTCTGTAGCTTCAAGTCAAAAGTGCTCAGTTACCTATAAAAAGATGTTTCTTTGGTTTTTTTCCCTTTAACAGACAGTCTTACAAGTTCAGCTTGGAATCTGACAATCAAGTTACCCTTTTTCCTACTTACGCTTCATGGCTACTAATAAAGGGTTCTGCAAGGCAAGTTATCCCCTCTGTGACACCTGTGCAACTAGATTGTCTTCTGCTTAGCCCCTTAATTACAGCTGGGCAAGCTGTGTGTTGTTGATAATAGGGTTTTATTGATGTCAATGAGCATAATTTGAAGATAATGGGGATGCACAGGTGGGGCATAATCTGAAGAAAGTGCAATTGCACAGATAGAAATGACACCAGTTCTTGCCTTACTGAACCTTTATTACTGCTGGTGATGCAGAAAAAGGAAAGAACATATCCTGACTGAGAGTTTGAGTTTGCAAGGCTGGCAGTTCAGGGGGAAAGCATTTAACTTTTAAATGGAGCACATTTGGTATGGAAATTGTTGATATGAAATACACCTGAAACCCCATGATGCCATCTGCATAGTCACTTTTCAAAACAGAATCATACTGTAAACAGCTATCAGAAAAAAAACTTAGGGGACAAGCATTATCCATAGCTAGAACATATATAATGAGGCATTGAACAAAATAATCTGTGCTTTCGGTGCCAAAGTGGATGAAGGAGATGAATGCATGTCTCTTGCTAGAACAGATTATCAACTCAGAGTGCACCTAGAGATTTAAATTGTTACAGTACCCATATTTCATAGTGCAGCTTGCATGAGTTCCTTCCTAAATGCACAATTGTTTGTTATAGTGTGGGCTGTTTTTTCATAGCTTTTAATTTGATTTGTTTAAGCATGACTAATTTATATTTACATATAGTGGCTTTGTTTGTTGTGTCTAAGAAATGATATACTCATATGAGCTTGGGTATAGGTTGGGCACCATGAATTCAAAGGCAGAGAAGTTTGACTCTCAAGGACATGTGTAATTCCAGATCCTTTTGCAGAATCCTCCAAAATTTGAGCTTACTTTTGGGTCCAAAGGAACTAATCTGGGGGGAACTGACAGCATTACCTCCCCACCAGCAGCATCTGTCTCCTGCTCTGAGGTATGTGGTTAGAGCCTTAAGCCCCTGGCCTCTATTCCATGGCCCCTTTTATCTGAGTGCCCAGAAGTCACGCACCCTTAGTTACACTACTGGGAATACCTACAAGAAAAGATAAAGGCTTTCTGGGCCAGTTCCACTCCACTCCCCTGATTTCATGATGGATTTGGGGGTAATTCAGAATTGTGAAGTAGAAGAAAACTCCATGCATCTTGACTTTTCTCCACCTGCAAGTTCTGAGAGCACAGCTGGCACGGGTTTGGGAGGGTGATGAAATTTTCTAGTTTAGTAGATTTTAATGCACTTTACATAGTAGGCTGCATCATTATCCTTATTGTATAGATATCGAGAATGAGGCACAGAGAGGAGTAGTGACTTACGCAAGGTCACCCATCACGCAGGTAGGTGTGAGAGCTAGGAATAGAGCCCAGGTCTCTAGCTCCAGTCCAGTAGAGCGCAGCTGTCTCATTTCCACTCTGCACAGCGTATGTGTGCTGAATGCTCTGCACTGGCTTCCAGATGATTCTTCAGATGAAATGTAAGATGTTGTCTTTAACTGTTAAATCTGTGAATGATCTGGGGAGGAGTAGGGACAAAGGCCTCTCTGGTGATGGGGATTTTCTAGGCTGTTCAATATATATTTTGGGAAAAGTTTGTGCTTTTAAAGTTGTGGCATGTTCCTACAGCACATGATACAGGCAGCATACAGTTCTCAAACACAAGTAAGCAGAAGTCTACATTTTCTTATTAATGAAGTAATTGTTTAAAACTTTAATTCAGATCATTCAAAACCTACTGTTATCACCCTTCTTGCAGACTGTCATATTGGAAACTTCCTGCTATTGCGTTATCCAGCGTGACACTGATTCATTTGAGAAGACAGATTTGTTTAATAGAATAACACTTAAAATACTATATATATGTGAAGTATACAGTGAGTCATACCCACAGCTGGTGTAAATTGGCACAGCTCCCTTGAAATGAGTGGAACTACACCAACACACAAGCTGCAGATGTGGCCATTACATGCCATGCAGTATAAATATATGCAGGAGGCTCAAATCCTACTTGACCTGTACAGCTGTACACAAACACTCAGTGAAGGAGGTTAACATATGCCTAATTTTAAGCATATTCTATTGATTTCCAA